ATATTCACGCTTAAATGATATGTTCTGTGAGTAATCTTCTCCTGTGAGATTCATCATATAGAAAACTAACCATTAAGATACTGAGGTTTGCAAACCATTCTATTCTGACCAGAAGTCTTGCTTTACTGCTCAAAATGCTGCTGTAAAAGGGGCACTTTAAGATGTGTATTAATTAAACAGTGAATTGTGGTGAACTGAAAACTAAATTTTCCAAATTTAAGCCAAAACACCAGTATTGTAAAATATAGAAACATAGAATATGATAGAAGATAAGAACCATTCAGTCCATAAATTCTGCCCAATTTTCTAAATACTTTCACTAGTACCCAGGGCCGGATTAACATAGGGTCTGATGGAGCTGCAGCTCCATGCCCAGGCCCATGGAATAGGCCCATTTAAAAAATATATATATATATTTTCTTTTTTTTTTTTTTTTTATACACACTTCTCATGTTTGCCACCTGACTGGTATTTTACTGGCACAGCTGGTATTTGAGGCTGCCTGGCTGTGCCTGTATTCAGGGACGTATTAGCCACGAGGCAAACAAGGCATTTGCCTTGGGCGGCATTTTTCAGGGGGCGGCAAAAAACGCCGCCCCCAAATGCCCAGGGCAAATGCCTTGTTAGCCTCGCGGCTAACAGACATGCCGGTCGGGCTGAGTGGCGCTGGCTGCTGTGCGGGCGGCTGGCGAGGGAGCACTTCCTCTGAGCGGTCTGCTCAGCTCCCTCGCGCGCCGCAGAGTGAGGCTGGGAGCCGGAAGATGATGTCATATTCCGGCTCCCAGCCTCACTCTGCGGTGCGCGAGGGAGCTGTGCAGTCAGCTCAGAGGAAGTGCTCCCTTGCCAGCGCCGCCCGCCCAGCAGCCAGCGCTGCTCAGCCCGACCGGCAGCCACTTGACCACCAGGGACAAAGAGAGAACCCCCCGCCCCCCCAAGCACTCCCAAAGGTAAGGAGGCTGGGGAGGGGTTTAAATTAAAAAAAAAATAATTTGAGTGATTGTGTGTGTGTCTGACTGTGTGTGTGTGTGTATTTGTGTCTGACTGTGTGTGTGTTTGTGTCTGACTTTGTTTGTCTCTGTGTTTGTGTCTGACTGTGTGTGTGTGTGTCTGACTGTGTGTGTTTGTGTCTGACTGTGTGTGTGTTTGTGTCTGACTGTGTGTGTGTGTTTGTGTCTGACTGTGTGTGTGTGTTTGTGTCTGACGGTGTTTGTGTCTGACTGTGTGTGTGTGTTTGTGTCTGACTATGTGTTTGTTTGTGACTGTGTTTGTGACTGTGTGTGTGTGTTTGTGTCTGTTTATGTGTCTGACTGTGTGTGTGTGTATGTGCCTGACTGTGTGTGTGTATGTGTCTGACTGTGTGTGTGTGTGTTTGTGTCTGACTGTGTGTGTGTCTGTGTCTGACTGTGTGTGTGTGTCTGACTGTGTGTTTGTGTCTGTCTGACTGTGTGTGTATTTAGAAGGTGGGGCGGGGGGGAAGGGTTGGGTGGGGGTGGCGCGGTTGGAGGGGGGCGTCTGAGTTTTGTCCTGCCTAGGGCAGCACAAAACCAGGATACACCACTGCCTGTATTGCAGTAATACTGGTAATACAATTACAGGTATTTTTCTCAGTATAAATGGAGATTACTCTGCAATACCAGCACCGGCCAGTAGGGGTCGCTGTGTGTGGAGAGAGGCAGGGATAGGAAGTTACAGCATATCCCTCCATGCCTCTCTCTACTACTCACTGATCCGTGGGGGAGCAGCTACACAGCACAGAGAGTCCAGACAGCAGCTCTACAGCTCAGGTAAGTGAGGGATGGGGGGAAAGGCAGCAGGGACACATGGGAACACTGAGACACTAGGGGCACATGGGGACACTGAGACACTAGGGGACACTGAGACACTAGGGGACACAGACACTAGGGGACACATGGGGGACACCGACACTAGGGGACACTGGGAGACCTGGGGACACAAACACTTTGAGACATGGAGATGCTGAGACACATGGGGATGCTGTGAGACACAGGGACACTGGGAGACACTGAGACATTGGGACACAGAGACACTAGGGACACAGTGTCCCCATGTCTCCCAGCCAGTGTCCTCAGTATCCCCATGTCTCCCAGTGTCCAAGTTTTCCAGTGTCTGTGTCCCCATGTCTCTCAGTGTGCCTAGTGTCCCCATGTCTCCCAGTGTCCCCACATGTTTCAGTTTCCCCATGTCTCCCAGTGTCCCCATGTCTATGTCCACAAGTGTCCCCATGTCTCCCAGTCTCTTCAAGTGTCTGTCTCCCAGCCAGTATCCCTAGTGTCTCTGTGTCCCCATGTCTCCCAGTGTCCCCTAGTTTCCCAGTGTCTGTGTTCCAATGTCTCTCAGTGTCCCTAGTGTCTTAGTGTCCCCAAATGTTTCAGTGTCCCCATGTCTCCCAGTGTCTGTGTCCCTAGTGTCTCAGTGTCCCCATTTCTCCCAGTGTCCCCAAATGTCTCTGTCCCCATGTCTTCTAGTGTCTCCATGTCTCCCAGCATCCCCCTGTCTGTAATCACAAGTGCCCCCATGTCTCCTAGTGTCCCCAAGTGTCTCAGTGCCCCCATGTCTCCAAGTGTCCCCAAGTGTCTCAGTGTCCCCGGGTCTCTCAGTGTCCCCATGTCTAGTGACACGGGGACATACTGAGACATGGGGAAACTGCAGGAAATGGGTACACTGAGACACTGGGAGACTAGGGGACCTGGCGACATAGGGACACTGAGACACTGGGTGACTTGCGAGACTGAGACACTGGAAGGCAGGGAGACACTGGGAGCAATCCATCTATAAAGCAGAATCAAACTGTGAGTAGTCTGTTGTTGATTTTACAGAATTTTCTCTTGTGTCACTCCTTGTGATTTACATCATGTGATGTCACGCATAACTAATTAATTATACAAATTATTAAGGCTGGTATTAAGAAAGGTGGCAACCCTAACTATTCTTCACATATTCTTGCTTACAGGAACACTATAGGATCAGGAACACAATCATGTATTCCTGACCCTATTATGTTAAAACCACCATCTGGCCCCCTCTTGCCACCCTAAATATAGTAAAATCTTATTTGTATTCAAGTCTGCAGCTGATTGCTCTGCCTTTGAACTGACTCTGTCTGCTGACATTATCAGAAGTGGTGGTCTGAGCAAATTACAATGCTTCCCCATAGGATTGGCTGAGATGTCAACTAGGCAGATCAGGGGCAGAGCCAGCACAAGTCAAACATAGCCCTGGCCAATCGGCATCTCCTCATAAAGATAAATTGAATCAATGCATCTCTATGAGTAAAGTTCAGTGTCTGCATGCAGAGGGTGGAGACACTGAATGGCAGTGCTGCACACTAGGCAGTACTGCCCCAGGAAGCACTTCTAGCAGCCATATAAGGAGTGGTGTTATTTTCTCTGAAAGGACAGTGTTTGCTGCAAAAAGCCTGAAGGGAATGATTCTACTTACCAGAACAAATACAATAAGCTGTCGTTGTTCTGGTGACTATAGTGTCCCTTTAAGTTTGGAAGCTGGGGTGTATGGGAACAAAACTTGTGTGGACCTGCTGACAATAAAATTTGTTTAAGTAATGCAGACTTTGGTCTCTCTGACACTGTGGCATGTCCCCTTTCCCTACACTCACTACATATACCTTTACTCTGTCCCAGACTTTATACCAGGAAAGTCTGCCTGCTAGTAAGATGATAAGGAGACAAGTGGACATGTGAGTGCTAGGGGACAGTCCTTAGAAA